ATCAAGTATATATTTTGCACAATACAGATAGTCTGCATGCATAAAGCATTGATATCTTAAAATTGAACAATTTAATATTAACTGGAAAAAGAATACTGGACTAACGGAAATGAACTCCGGGAGGCTGCGGACAGACCTACAGAAATGTCCAGAAAAACATCGTACCATCATAATAGGAAACCTAAATGCAAAAGTTGGGTTGAACGACATTGAGTATGAATGTATTACAAGGACTGAGAGGGAGAAACGAGGATCGTGCTAAACTAGATTATAGCCAAAGGAGGCAGCAGTTTAACCCACAAACGCATACGCAAAACCTTATAGCTTTCACCAAAATACAATACGGGAAAGCAAAATGATCAAACGTGGGACAAAAAATATTTTGAGGGTCCATGAAAGATGTGAGAACAAACAGAGGAGCTGATATAAATTCCGATTATCGCCTGGTGATGATCAAGTTAGAACTGAAGTGAAGAAGCATTGGACAAGCAACACTACAGGAGGTAAATATAGACTTCTTTGAAGATGTAAGCTTATGATAGCTTCTAGAAATAATTTCCAAGTCTTATAGAACCTACAAGAAGAAGAGGAAACCACTATGGAGAACAATCAGTAACTGATTGGAGAAACAATAACTTCAACATGCCAGGTTAGAATACTTTGAAGAACTCTTCAATACATTAGCGCTACCGAATATGGAAGTAGAACACACACATCTTCCTATAAATTATACCCCACTAACAATAGTAGTCAGCAATGCGATCAAACAAATCAAAAGTAGCAAGAGAGCACTAACGGACTGATGTCAGAATTTTCAACAACGCTAAACCAGTATTATTGTACGATGCTTAAACATAAAGAACCATTACGAAAATAATTTATAAACCAGCTGTCCTTACGAGATACTCCAGATTTACCGGCCATAGATTGTCAGCAGAGAGAAAATCAGTTGTCAGTTGATGAGGGAATTAGCAAAAGACGCTGCAGGTCGATAGGACTTATTTTGCGGGAATCATTAAATTGCATTACAAGGTAATTCCTAAATTTGAATCGTCAAGGCAAAAGAGGGAGGCTAATGAACACATTGAGCCTGGATTGGAGATAGATATGTGATTACATGTTCCAGCAGTAGTTACAGACTTAGGTACTTAGATTAACAGAAATCGCACGTGTTTCGAACAACAATATGGCATCAAAGATAGTTTATAACAATAAGTAGCATATTAAAACAATTAAGTGTAGTAGTAGTAGTAGTGTGAAGTAAAAGTAAGTCACTGTATTAGGATTCAGAATAATGCAACTATATATATGTAGACGAATTTAGAATTCACTATGACCTAAAAATTGCTTCTCGATGAGTATCGTATATCAGTTCTTATTATAGAAAAATCTGTGCGTCTTCATGCTTCCAACAATAATTCTTCTCAATAAATATTATCAAGTGAATGAACAGATAGATTTCGCTTGTTTTTACTTTCCAAGCAGAACAATAAAAGCCCCAATAATAAATTCCGTATTAAAAAAATTCAAACTCAACTTATTAAAAGTAAAAACTTATATCCCTAAAAGATTAATTCTGCTTTGTTAAAACAACAGCATTTATTGTTTATAGATAAACTAACACTGGAAACAGGTAAATTGAGCTTAGGAACGAAGAAATAACGAGTGAAAATTGAAACGATGTGTGCTGTTTATGAAAACAGAAAAACCCGTATTTAGAAAACTATAAACCAGTTTAGCCAAACATAATACATAATTATAAATCTACTCGGATAGATCGCTTTCACTTCATTGAAATACACATTAGAAATTTCATACCTTCCCATTATTATATATAAAAATTGCATAAAATTGAAAAAGGAGAAAAATAGCCCCATTTTGTTTTACGTATCAAACAGATTTGGGGAAGCGGAAACACAAATTCATCCATACACCGATTACTACACGCAACTACAAATAATCGGGTACTTACTCCAAAAGTATGTTCAGTACAAGAACCCGTGCACATGACTACAGATCATTTTCGTTAGAGACGAAATTGAGATATTTCATACGGTTCCTAGATTGATAGTTAGTGTGCTTTACTGAACGATTTCAAAATCACCTCCAAACTTAGATTGTATCACTGATATCAATAGCATGATTTAAGTTCCATCTTTATGACTATTGATTATTTATTCAGACTGAATCCGTCCAAACTATTTGTCGTATAATATTCCACCGTTATAACAATTAGATTACTTGTTATAGACGATTGATAGACACATAGATTTTTATACCTTATTTATTTGAATACATAAATGTTGATACAAAGTGACACCGAATACATATGAGCCACACAAGTCCCTTGACTTGTGTGCGAGCTGTGATACTAAGCGGATGCAAATGCCCAGATAGTCTCGAACCTTATTCATTATCACTGGTGTAAAAAAGATTCTACACTGATGTATAATGAAATTAAGCGAACAAGACTATTATTATTAATTTGTACCAACTAGTAGCCCAACTAAATCTCTGAATAATGCTCAAAAATAAGGTTATTCGAAACGATGTATCATAGTGTTTGCCTATATCAAACAGTACGAAAAATAGTTATCAATACTATACTACTAAGAAAGACTAAAGAAACACACACAAAGAAGGAACAAACAATAAACTTCGAGTTATGGATAGAATAATAGTGAATAAATAAACTAGGCACCGAAATTCTGACAGCAATCAAACAATTATTTAAGACGATATAACAATGAACAGAAGACAGGTCAATATCACTAAATAACGATCCTTCCTTCACAAAGAATGAATCCACAAGACTGGAAGAAGCCATTCATAAGTGAAGTTAATTATAGGCAGTGGAAATTTCCAACTTAAGTTATCCTGTAAATCAATAAACCCTTAGAAACTGACACAAATTTAAAAATTTCTCGAATGGATATTCATTAATGAAACGAATAGATAAGATTTTAAATTTATAATTATATATATGTGTACCAAAAGAAAGCAATATTTCATCCAGAAATAACCATCATTCTTTTCTATCCACAATTGATTAGAAGCAGAAGATAAACATTAATAGAAATAACAACAAATAGACAACAAGATATCGGTGAAGAGAACAAACAAACAAAAGAGAAAAGAACAAACTCATTCATAGTTAGTAAATATGTTAAACAGAGAATTCAATAGTTAGTCAGTTAGTTAGCAAGTTTCGTTAAAGCACATTATATTTGAAAATGGATATGACACAGACTAATTACTTTTTCTTTTACTTTAATAAAGAACTGAGAGAAGAAAAGATAAAACTCACCAAGGAGAGAGAAGAAAAGGAAATTACTAAGTTAATTGCCTTTGGTACTGTTAAGAGTATATATATATATATATATATATATATATATATATATATATATATATATATGAGCGCAAGTCAAGAGAACTAGAGGGAAAGAGAGGATAACAAATTTTGAAAAAAAAGAATGTGATTGAAGAAAATGAAACCAGAATTTAAAATGCCACCGTAGCAGTGAAATAAATCAAATAACTATTTACTCACATTTCAATGATTTCAACAACGATAATAAAAGTATTAGATCATTCAACCTAGAACAGATAGCTAACTATCGATTGTAAATATATAACCATGAATTAGATTCACAATACTAGTGGATAAAACAGAATCAACACTTTAACTACAATAAAAGGTAATGAGAAAAGGACTGCCTCAGTCTGTTGGTAAATAACCCAAACCGATAGTGTATAAACAATTTTGAATGCAAACGCTAGTACACGTACTGATTTCGATGAGACCATTATCAATTTATCTATAAACTACTCAGCAGTTTCATAACTAAATTTAAGTACTAATATTGATATTTATTCAGTAAACAGTATTAATTCCATCATGAAATATGTGATTCGAATGAAAATTGGTGAGATTAAATTTTCTTTTGGTTAGAACATCTCAATTGTAAATTAGAAAAGAATACAAGAAACAAAATTTAATGAATGAAATGAACTTATAGGGTCGAACTTTGTTCTGAACTTACTACACTCACTTTTAATGTCATGAATAAGTTTACCTATTGATATTTATATAAAGATATGAACCGCAACTTCCCTAAGCCAAACATAAAAACAAACTAGATTGCAACATATCTCTAAGAATTATGTTTTAATTCATTTTCTATGAAACCATAAATCTTTGTTTTCAATACATATGCCAGGTACACTACATCAATTACTTTGATTTAAACAGACAAGCTGAAGTTATTAACGGGCAAAACAACCGCTTAAAGCATAAAACAAAATACTTTATACATGGTTAGTCATCAAGTTGTGAATTGAATCATTTCGTATAAATAAAACACAAATATTATGCTTTCTACACTAAGATTGACAAAAACAATTTTGATATACCTATGTTATGAGAAATATAGAAATGATCTCATGTTTCATATATATATTCACGCAGTTTCACTATACAGGGTGAAGTGATTCAAAGAGTACACTAAAAATAAATAACGATCATTTTGACTAACTATTAGATAAAACATCACTATATGTGCCTCTACATTATTGATATATTCAGACACCCTAAAATACACTTGATGTCGTTCCACTCCTGACAAAAAGTTGATCCAACTGCACCACGTTATGTTGACGAAATCATCTCGCTTATATCAAGCGAAGAAAGTTATATAGTGAGAAAATATCATGTTAAATTGTAAAACTATAATGTTTTTGTAGTCTTAAACACCATATCTTATAAGTGTAATTTACAATAGTTCACATATTAAAACAGAGATATATACCATAATATTGATTATGACAAAATGACATTTAAACTTGATTGAAGCAATCCGTGTACATACATGCGAACATGGAAACTAAATTACAAATATATACACACATAAAATAGTGTAATGTAAGCAAACAGAAAAATGGCCAAATCAACAATATATAAATACAAACAAAGTGAAAAAATAGAAAACGATTTTTTTTTTACTACAGTCAATTTATTGACAAACAAATGTATATATGTACATGTATATTATGACAACAATAATATCCACTGGTGTTTTTTATACAGATATGTCTAAACAAGGAAATAAAAAATCGGATTGTAATTAACACACATGGTGAAAATATAAATAAATAACTGATTCTATCCATTTTGATGATAATTCGACATGGACTGCAGAACCTTCCAGAGATAGAGAGATGAATGACGTGAGATAGAGTAATTGTAAATCCATTTGATTTTATATAATTGAAAAATTCTTTGATTCATCATATAATAATAATTGATTATTTGATAAATTCATAATCCCTCTTTACATAAAAATAAAAACAATGAAACAAACAAATTATAAATGAATAATTATTATATTGCAAACATACATTTAACTAAACAGTAAATTAAGTAGTTGACCATAGACGACAAATGAGCAAAGTATGAATAGAAATTAACCAGTTATAATAGTCGAAATAATGCATTTATGAATGATAATAAGAAACTAAATGTAGAGAATATGATTTTCGACCAAAATAACATATCCATTGTGAATAATTAAAGAGACAAAGAAACAGAAAAACCGAACACTTCAATGTTTATGCCTATATATATACCATACAAAATAAAACAAGCTGTAAAAAACAACATATTAATAGCGAGATTATGATCGAATTCAATGATCCCCAATAAAGTCAAACAGACGGGATAAACCTTGTGCATTTCATAAAGATTGAGTGAATAATTTTTTAGCCTACATTTGAATCTATCACCAATCCATGATATAATTTGATGTACATTGAAATGATTTTTCCCTTCCTCCTCAGCTTATGATAATATGAAAATCATGTTAACTTCAACTATCTCAACAGTGATTGGAATAAAAGAAATAAATATTTCAGTAAGTAAGTGCAAGATAATTTGCCAAATACCATTGAATTACACTTATTATAAGGATAGTTGGAAATGTAAAATGTAGACAACAATGAATTAAGTAATGCAACAACCGAGAAAAAAGAGAACGCAAAAATAAAGAAATGTAAAGTGGGAAATTTTCATTCATTTTACTGAATGAAAAAAAAACGAAAATTCATCAAAAATCCCTTTATCAAACTTTGTCTTTAGTGAGGGCAAAGAAAGAAAAAAGGAACACCAGATAAACAGTACGTATATGTACAAGGATACGTTGAAAGAGTTTCAGATTAATTCACTGTCGATAATAATCCAATAATAACGTACATTTGACTCAGATTACTCGTTCGATGAACGTTACAACCAAAAAGGTCATCTGGTTTCTCGACATAACTCAGTTTACAACAGTACGCAAAAAAAGGTTACACTCGAACATTACATTTACAAATTTATTTAACACTTTTCACATACGCAAATACTGACGAGATTAAATCAATACATAAATTATTTCAATCTTTCATTGTCCACAAAAACAAATGATCTAATTACTGTCATACAGTATATTTAAACTATGTACATTAGATTGGAAAAATATTTTTCCTGAAGAATAATAATTGTTAGTGTTATAACGACTATAGTTATTAATAAACACTGATCTTGTATGCCTACACTAATGTAAGCTAACTTTCAATCAATTTATTATATATCATATGAGATCATGCAACAACTACATACATATTAATTAGGAGAACAAAGAGATTAGGTTAGTGAAGAGAGCGTAACGAGAATACATCAAGCATATATATGTATGTGTAAACTAGTTATGCACGGTATTTTCTAAACAGTTTAATAAATTCTACACACTTACACGAACGACGCAATTGTACATGTAACCAAATGCATACAGGTCATTTGATTTGATGTGATGAAGAATACATAAAGGTCATATTATGTATATAATCTGATTAAAATGTGCATTTAACGAAAAAGAATAGGTTAATCTTCACAACCAAAAACGTATTGATTAACGGACCAAAACGCCACAATAAAAGATTATCATTTGATAATATATATATATGAGTAAAAAAAAAAGGCGAAAGGGTTGACGAAAAAGTAATTGTGTATTAATTCTAAAATGTGTACTGATATAATTAAGTGACAATACAAAACATAGCTTCATATAAAACTGATAGATATAACAACAATGTTCACAATAATTCATTTGTATTGGTTGAGTCCCGGAATGAACACCAACTATAGAATGTAGGTACACGCAGATGACGAATACCAAACAGGACGAGACGCGCGTCCTGGATTTAACTACTAGCCATCATCCATCTCTGCTTAAAATATTCGAAATACTTGTAACAATAAGTCATAACAAATTGTTCGACAAACCGTATAGATTTTTCTAACTGAAACCTGATAAATTTATAACAAATAACAGTAATCGATTATTTGCGGTTAACAGAAAGAAAACTATTCATGTGGAACAATTTAGAAATTTCAAAGTTTATGATAGAATCATTGCTTCTGAATTCATTAAATATGACAATTTACAAAATGATTTGAACGAAGTATCTACACAAATGTCAATGACATACCGAATCAGATGAATTTGAATCCGAAAGTCAGAAAAATTAATATTTACTTTACACCTGATATGAAAATGAGTACTTTTTAAAATTCAGATTCCATGAGGTAATTAAATCATAATGTAGTTAGTAAATCATCATCACTAGTTGTCAGAAAAATGTGGAATATAGTTAGTCTTCTTAACAGAAACGAAGAAGAAAAGGACAAACAAAGGCATATCATGGCAACCGAATGTTTAAAGTATTTTTTTAATATGACTTGAAAATTAAGAAATGATAATATTTCTTTTGAAAAACAAAACTGAATGACCAACCTAGTTGTCTTCGGCTAAGAAGATATCATTTAGAGAAAACAATCATGGATATAAACTAACACTATGTTAAAAATTATGATTTTACAAGTGATAACTTTGCATTCGATGAATATTGATGCAACTTAGGAGTAAAATGTATTATATCACCAGTTATAGGAACATTATCTACACACATTAAATACACTTTAGAAAATAGTACTCTTGTATCCATATCAATCATTATGATAGCTGGTCGGCTTGAGGTGATGCTTGAAACAAATCTTGAAAAAACAAACGAATCGAAAAGTTTGAAAATATATTCAAAAGATACAGAAGACATACAATTGAATAAATCAGGATAGTGGTGTGTGCTACTGATGTCGACATATAAAAGTACTGTAAATCAAAAGTCAAAAGTGGAATGCCTGGTGGATGAAGGTTGAGAAAATCGAAGAGAATGATCGGTGTGGGAATGAAAGAACAATGTAGTCTGAGACAAATGATGGATATTTTACAAATAAAGTATATACTCTATGGTTTTCAGATTCTACCAAGATATTCTGTAATGTTGCATTAAAATGCATTTGGTTGTCTCCACTGATGTTCTTGTTCACTACAAAATAAGTTCTGTGAAAAAATGCTATGATATTTATAGAAATGACTAGTTTTTTTTAATATGCATGAGGCAAAATCTAAGAAGTTCATGCTAAACTGCTAATGATTAATAAATATTGCATCGTTCTTATTTTAAATTTCTAGTTTAGTAATTTACTGTTCTACGGCACAACAACATATATTCATTAAAGCTTTTTCTATTATGACCTGTATATTATTCTGAATTTCCTAATAAAAAATTCACATAATGAATTCGTCATTAAATCAGCCTTTCAAAGTCTTATCTGACTGAAATTTGAAGGCACAGTATACTATAAATAATTTTTTTAATTCTATCAAGTTGTTTATTCTAATAATGTAAACAATTAATTAGAATATCACAAGTGTACCCGACATAATTACATCACTATTATAATAATAAGCAATTAAGAATAAACAGTTAAACTTCTATAATGTGATGCATATCTATGCACATACTTTACGTTTATCTACTATCTATCTGGTATATATTGGAATTTTGATATAATCTTAATTTCTTGTTAATCTTCATCATCATTATCATATATCTACGACTTCATAAAAAAAACTTAGGAAACCTGGAGAAAAATTCAGTGAAATAAAAGAGGATAGACAATAACAAAATAAAGATTTACTACTTCCACAAGGAAAAAAAATAAGAATAACGAGTAATATGATTTACAAGGTAAAAATATAATTTTTGTTACCCTCTCTCTTTAAATATATATCAATTTTCCAATGGTAGAAAGAGTTATTCAAATATTAACCAATGAACGTTAAAATAGGAGGAAAAATACACAACAAAACACACGTTCACCACCACCACCACCAATAACATAATCATCATCAGCAATAACGACAACAACAGGAAGAAGAACAATAAAAGTATATCGTCCACATTACTGGTCGATCGATCGACCAGTTAGTTTAGCCCAGAAGAAAATATAAATCGATAATACTTCTAGTTCTCGTTAGTTAGTTAAAGTTAATGTCTAGTTGACCAAAACATTGAAAAATCAGAATTAGAATAATTTGGCAGAAAAACTTATTTTTCCTTTGTAAAATCTGTATACGTGACTACTTATAGCATGTCACACGTGGAGGTAGGAAACAGTAAAGATTAATATTAAAGCCGAAAAAACAACAGATTGAGTGTCTCTGTGTATATATGTATGAACACAATAGTCGACTATTTTAAACGAGTGCTAAAAGGATATAGCTGAGGAATGAAGTTTAGATAGAGTGACAAATTTTATAAAATGTTAAAAGTTTGATTTAAACACTTAATTTAACCTTAGTTGTTACCTGGATTAGCATAATGCTTATATTTGACCCTAGATATTTAAGTAGATCAACAAACAAACAAAATAGGTTAGTTAATTTAATCAAAAATAAAATAATGATATTCTAGGTATTTATATCGAAAATTTATAAGGAATTAACAGTAATTCTTCTTATCTTATGAACTAACCAGTAAGTTGTAAACAACTTAGAATTTGGCATAAATGTCCATCAATCTAAAGTGTCAAAACATATCAGGCACTTTAAAAAAAAAAGAAAAAGAAAGTAACCAAATGAATAGGAAAGTAATCGAAATAATAGTAATATAACAGTCATAGTGAGGAAGACTAAAAAGGTAAAGAGCATAATAAGAATGTAAAATTAAAAACCAAAACATAAAAAGATCATCTGTACTACTGTGAGCAATTTTAAAATGTCATCTAAGGTGCTTAACCTCTGTGATTAAGTGACTGAAGGATTGTCGTTTATATACAAAAGCTTCAGTCATGTTAGTATAACACTAACCATATAACAAGGATGAAAATATAGTTCACAAAATTACTACATTGGATACAACTTCTATAATCAACAAAAGGCAAAACGGATCATAACAAACGTCTATTGGCATGTGAAAAATCGTTCATATATTTGATTTGTCAGACTAAAACAGTCTAGGTTTTAAAAAACCGAGTGATATATGTGCAATTAACACCCTTCTCCTCCTTAGTCATATTAGTGAAAAGCAAACACATTAATACAGTTGAAAAACTGTGTGGTACAAGAACTATTTCACCAAAACTTCCATAAAATATAACATGATCCCTAGAAAAAAACACCTATCATAATGTAACAAGCTCAATTTACCAAAAAACACCGTTATGAATAAACCTTTTGCTTGTTATGAAAGGACGTTTGGGGATAAATAAACGCACGGACAAAATGAGTTGATCGATCGATGAAATGCGACGATACGATGTGACCGAGTCATGGTTGCTCACATGACCGATTTGATAGCGTGAGCCCTCAAATGAACTGATATCAGAAAACAAGACAGCTATTGAGTGGAATAGGTTTTTCCATCTGTCAAAATAACACATATTTAGAATACTGAACACAGGAATAAACGTGACTAGACGTCATAAGCAAAGATGGATAGTGGCTAGCAGTGGAATCCAGGACGCGCGTTTCGTCCTGTTTGGGACTCGTCAGCTGGATGTACCTGCATCTCAGAGTTGATGTTCACTCTGGGACTCGAACTCAGTACCGTTCGCTTCAAACGCCATCGCGTTATCCACTTAGCTACTGAGTCCTGATAGCCACTTGCTTGTGCAATGGGTTGAAGTTGAATTCACTGACTGATCATTGACTGATCAATTTCAGTCCAAAAACATCAATGGGAAAATTCAAGTAAAACAATATCAAGTGAATTCAACTTCAACCCATTGCACAAGCAAGTGGCTATCAGGACTCAGTAGCTAAGTGGATAACGCGATGGCGTTTGAAGCGAATGGTACTGAGTTCGAGTCCCAGAGTGAACATCAACTCTGAGATGCAGGTACATCCAGCTGACGAGTCCCAAACAGGACGAAACGCGCGTCCTGGATTCCACTGCTAGCCACTATCCATCTTTGCTTATAATGCTTGTAAATTTAGGCAATATCGAGGCATACGCACAGTATGCACATATGCCAATAAGAGACTGATCAATTTCAGTCCAAAAACATCAATGGGAAAATTCAAGTAAAACAATATCAAGTGACTAGACGTCGTTTAATAATGCAAGAACTATAGGTAATTCACTCTTTAATCCAATTAATGTCCAAATATTACATTTTATTTTTGCTCCGTCATATTATTATCACAATATCATTACAAAATATCAAAAGTATGGAGCAATGTGGACATAATGGTTAGTGTACCGAGATTCCAACAAGTAGATTGGTTCGAACTCTACTTCCTTTTGAACAGATTGACAGTATCCACTAGAAATTGCACTCAGAAAGTGTGCAACTAAAATCTGAGTACGTAGATCTATACTTGGCACATGAGTAACGTAATTAAAAGTTTGAAAATTATGAAAATATACAAAGACACTATATAAACGTATAATATACAGTAGTAAAGAAAGTGTCAGGTAAAAAAGTAGTATTATCAGTCAGTGGTGAAATTAAAATGAAAACGCTTCTTTAATAACGAGTAAGCTAACTTGCTCAATAATCAGAATAGATGAGAAAAAGTTAAATACGCAACATAAATCAACAATTATTCAAAGCAGCTGCTGTTTCATCATGTACAACATACGAAAAAAGTATATGAACAACTAGAACAATTCCCCACTAAACTAACATAGAAAAAGGGTATTTGCGGAAAAAGCAACAACTTATATGTGTTTTGAATTAAAACAAAACAAAGACGAAGCAAATATTATTCTTCATGCATCAATCTATAAAAAAATAGTGGAGAATAATAACGACGAAAATCCCCTAAGATAAAATAAGATACGTAGCGAGATAAGCTGTGCAAATCTGAGTAAATCTTATTTATCTTAATTTGTGTTTCTCTTCTCCTCCCACCATAGCTTAGTGTCCACTCAATCGTACTCCTATTTATTGTAAAGCTTAAATCTATTGAATACAATGACGTAACGAAATTGTGGCGAAGTACTCAACTGATGAATTTGTAAAAAGAAAACTTGGGTTTTTGATTTCAAAAAGAAATACAGACTAGTTGACATGATTAGCAAAGAACTAAAGGAGTTTTCAAACCGTTCGATCTTCGGTCAATAAGCATTAGGTTCGAAATCTAATGCGCATACTTGGGTGTCGATATCCAATGTTGTCAAGTATCATTATCCCTCATAAACTTAGAGTATGACTCAAACTCAAGCATCTGATTTATGAGTGAATTCAACTTTCGGTTCAGTTATAGTAACTAGTTTTACCAAGTAAAAATTCAGTTATTCGACGTTGGTAATGATTCCTTAACTTAGTATACGCGACTACTACTTAAAGTTAAACTATCTGTTTAAGGCTCGAATCTGTAACAAAGTTGATACTGAAATCAATTGCATAAATGATTAAACCACAATAACCAGCCCGTTTTATCTCTATTGGTAGAATAACACAGATTAATCAGAAAGTCGAAAACAAAAATAACCCCACGGGACTACACAGCGTACACAGATGGGTGTTTTCCTAATATCAGGCCAAAAAGCTTGTCATTCGACAAACAGATGCATTAGTTCTGCTTTAATGAAATAACCCCACCGATTCTAAAACGCCATCGAGGATTGTTCAGAGAATCCAATTAAGGCTATTCAATTGACCATTTACTGAATATTTCTACAGTAATATAGGTCCTAGACTTTAACGACCACGATGATTGGGTGAGTGACTAGTAGTGGATCCAGGACGCGCATGTCGTCGTATTCAGGAATTATCAGCTGGATTTACCTATATGCCAATGTTATTAGCTTACCATGGGACAATGGAATATCAACGGAAATAATAAACTTAATATAAAGTTATTTTTATAAAACCAGCATAAAGCTTCCTTAATAACACCAAAAGATGCATTGACCACTCCAATCACTCAATCATAACACATACTAAATGATGACAGACAATAAGTTGACATTATATAATAAATAGGATTATTGGTGAAAACAAGTAAACCACCCACCTCCTGTATAATTCACTTTATTCGAAACTAAAATATCTGCTTGTAATGGAGTCATTTGTAGATAGTGTGAATCAGGATTTTTCTAGAATAGTATAAAACAAAAAAACATATTTAGTGGTAATATCACAGTTATAAATTGCAATTAACCAGAAAATTAACGCCCTGGCACGGCTCGAAATGGTCCTACGTGGCAATGTGTATATAACACTGCTATGGAAGTCCTACCCATTTTCTTCTCGTGGAGAGGGTGATGTTTACGAAATTGAGAGGACGAAAAGCGAATGTTCAGAAACTAAACCCAGTTGGTTGGTAAGGAGGATCTATCTAAGTTAGAAAATCCTGATCACAAAGCAACAGGGCATGTGGGTTCCAGGATTTCGAGGGAACAAATAGTGTAATCATGGTCACCGTCTACTATGAAATCGCAAATCAAAACATTGCTCCACCGCCTTGTGGTATACACTTCTAAGTCAAAGGTTCGGGGAGTGGTCTCCTGAGAAAATCAACTGCTCCAGTTTGTGCACCCGGAAAGTATCCCACCCCATACACAAGTTCAATTATTTCCGTGGAGCATACATATTTTGGTGATGAAGTCTATACTCCAAAATATATGAAAATTTAATCAGTGAGCAAAAGAATTCTAATATCTTTCTACAATATCACAAGCAACAAAAAATAGAGATAAATATATTTATTGCTTACAATGAATTCCTCATGTAAAACTGGACCCATTGACTCAGAAACAACTTCATCTACTAAAGGATACGTTCGGCAAAGATACTGAAATTTCGAACAATAAAAAAACACAAAAGAGTTTATGATTATTATTATTATTATCATTACTATTAGTCAAATTATCCATTACTTAATTCAGTTAGATCTCATAGTTCCTTTTCTTAAAAGGTACCATATTGAAACTGGGTTCACATAGTAACTAAAATTATCAATGTTAAGATGTAACAAATATTTGTAATAATACTTATATACAACGAAACTGAAATTCGAATAAACTAAATATTCAGAGAACTATTTTACTCTAAGGAGTTCTAATGGTATGTACATTACTTAATAAAAGAATAAATAGGATCGATTCAAAAATATTATAGATATAATGAATGAATTTAAACGGTTTGATAACTGTCGATGTGACTTAACTCGATCCATCTCCTCCTCCCACCAACTGTTTGGTAATTGAGTAAATTATTTAGAATTCTTAGCTTACTTCTGAAGGCCATGTAAGTTATTATTAGTAGTAATAATGACAACAATAATTCAAATCTCATTATCATAATTATCAAACAGTAGACTCTAGTTTATATATGCAAATTCACACGCCAATAATCTCTTAAATAATACATACAACATTTAGGATAGATCTCAATATCAACCAGATAACGATTTTGTGGAAAATATGAAACTTTTGTTTAAATTTTCTAAATAGTTATCCTATAAATAAATCGTATCATTGGATGAATTAACTATATACTTCATAAATCTTAGTTGCATTTAGAAGTTACAAAGTATATGACTAATTTAAGTAAATAATTTTTGTTTTGTTTCAAGTATAAAAGAACTTAAAACTAAACTTTAAAACAAACAATACAAATGGTTACATTTACCTCTAAAGCTAAACTAGCTTGTCGTTGACTATCTGAAAATTCAAGATTACCCATAGCATATAAAAGATTTGATAAAGCGCCCATCTAGTGGAAGAAAAATGAATGATGATGACGATGATGTTGGGGATGTAAAATCTTAAATTACAACTTACAAAAATCAATGTTGATTAGGTTAAAATTCTTTTACAGTAAATTATCATTTCATGTGAACATTATTTTTGTAATTTTAGTAGATTTTTAAGATATTTCGAGTCAACGATAAATATTCAGTTTAAATACCTTAATCATATTTCTTTTCACTGATATATAATCGAGAAATTTTTATGTCTTTCTGAATGACTACACAAAATGAACATTCAATAGCTTCATCTAAAGAACTAGTCTTTTTAGTCTAGCGAGGAAGAGAAAAGAACTATAAAAAGTTAGTTTTTATTTCACGGTATTGACACTGAAGTGGCGCGAAGGATTAACGCAGTGGACAAACATATCAGATGGTGAGGATAGAAGCATGTTTAAAAAGATAATCATGTAATAACTGGTTAAGTGAAATCAATCTAACTTAGTATACAGTAAATGGAATAATGTGAATAAATATTTCCAGAAAGACATAACATTTATACATACTTTCTCCCAAATAAATATCTTCACACGATTATTAATTTTTAAGCATCAATAACGAGAAGACAAAAAGTGATATCCCACTATTCTTTCAATAAATAAGGAAGAGCACAGAGCACAATTAAAAACCAGTCGTCATACAGACAAGATTCTGGAATTTATGTTAAAAACAACTGATAGAAAAAGACAGCAATGAACACCATCACAACAACATTAACATAATGGCTGATAATTGAATACACAGAGAACATTCTGTTTTTTACATGTACCATCCATCAGTTAGGCAAAGGTCATTGGTGTTTTTTTGCTCAAGTACAAAAAACAAGTCACTACATGACATAATTTGACAAATGTATAATAAATCTTCGCAAACACAAGCTAATTTACGATCATTCAACAAATCGTCGTTTCGTTGGTAGATTTAAAAAAACAGTGTGCAAAAGTGATATATATATATATATCACTTTTGCACACTGTTGTCATATATTCACGTGACTTTCTACGTAAAACTTCAACTATACCGACGTGTTTGTTCGAGAACATTCATTTTACTAATGATTAGATTTTAATTGGTCTTCGCTTCCTAGGTGATAAAAATTGGCGCATTACATATGGTTTTGCTTATATCATGAAATAGCGCCTAAAATTCCATATACATATGTATAGTCAAGAAAAGTAGAGATTTATCAAATTAACCATACACACACACACACGACATATAATGCATCAAATATTAATTTCAAAATGCGAGGACAATATAATGTTAACTAAGTAGCTCTAAAAGGAATTAATCACCTTAATATTGTGATAAATTGTATCGAATATTATTTAATTTTGAAGTATAACACGACAAGGCTCCATATAAAACGGAATATATATATTTAAAAAGCTATTAATTTTACTTCCTGTTTTACACTCAATTCAACAATGCTATTTTGTATTACTACCATTATTATTGTGTTTGTTAAAGTAATTTCCAAATGGATAAATAGAAAATTCAATAATAGATCTTATTAATGTGCACATTGTTATGTGTATCTGCTATACTTTAAACAATACAAACTGGACAGAAATACTAGCCAGTCTAGTATATAGTCTATCTCGGTTGTTCTGATAGATACATAATTGACTTTACAGTACAGATTTAGTAGCCTAGATTTGAGAATTTTGAACATTGTGCCACCTATAAAGGAGTAAACCATTCTATTATCTATCAAAAAAGATGTAAATATAATATAGTACTCTACAATTTAGCTATGTGAAACATATCTATGGAAAGTTCAAAACACGCACAGGTCATATGCATTGGGTCACTGGTGTCTTCGAAGTAGTACTCAGTTAGAATAAAATTGCCGACAAAAATGCCGATGTTAAGTGCAAAGAACTGTGTAAGATGATAAATCAGTTGGTGAAGATGTAAAACTAAGGTGATTAGAGCAAATGCATACAAAATCTTTGCATTATGCAAGCAAATTTATAACCATTTAACAAATTATCATCTCGTTGATGGATTTTTTTGAGAAAAAAGACAAATAGAAAAGTGACATAATTCAATCAATTTACTGTGATCAGAAATTTCAAGTGATAAACGCGTTAGACCCAGTGAATTACAAGACGACACCAAAATATTTACCTTGATTATCTTTCTTGATACTGTTGAAGAATCTTGCGAGAGAATACTTTGAACGCACGAATTCGTAAGAGGTTAGCAAGAAAGGAAAACAAAAGAAATATACATTGGAGATATAAATTTAAGTTACAAAAAAATCTATATATTAATATAGTTCAACAGCTCATTAAAAATTATATTGTGGTGTATGTTACTTAAGTCGACAAATAGAAGTCATATGTAGCACCAGTAAGAAGTGGAAAGCAGAAGGCTAAGAAAATCGACTTGAAGAAAACAGAAAGGGAAATAGAAAGGAAACGTGAATTGGAAGAATCATACAGAATGTCAAAGACAATTGATGGAATATATGCCAATGAAGTGTTTAGTGTACAGTTCTCATATTTTACGAAAATATTCTCTAATTTTGTATTAAACATAATATTGGTTTTCCCCACCCGAGTATTCATTCACAACATCACTGCATAAAATAAATCTTTACATAACAACCACTCCCAATAATGAAAATAAAAAATAATAGCGTCTAGTTTCAAGGTGAATTTCCAAAAGTTCTATTTTAAGACGTAACCAATGGATGGTCAGCATAAAAGCAACGGTTAACACCGACTTCATTGAATGTTGGCGAGATTTAATTAGAATTATGAGTGTGGACTCTTAGGGTTATCTCCAGAATGTAGATGAACACTTAGGAGATGTGAAATCTTTCAAGTACTTTTTAATTTTCAATACACCTAACATGATGTTAGGTTATAATTAAAATTGTAGTTTTAATTTCCACTGCACCGAATTACGAATAAATTCAAGTTGGGTTATCATATGCAAAAAGTACATAGGAACTGAATGGTAGTGCCGGTTAAGAAAACCGAAAATATTGAATTTGATTCAGATTTACAGTCGAAAATTTTGAATGTTTGATTAAACCTCTAGATTTTGCATTGATTCTCTATGAGATGTAAAAAGTCAATGAATTTAGCCTTAGTCAACTTTCAAAAACTCATTTGATTTCTACAGCGTTTATTTAAACTTTATAGAGAGTTTAATTAATAATCTTTTCAAATTAAATTCAATCAATTTATATTAAGTTAATATTAAGACTAAAATTAATATACGATACAATGACTATATTTATTAATACGTATTACTATTAAATGATGACCATCGAAGTGTGATTAAAAATAAGAAGCAAGTGTTTGCTTATTTAACTGATTTGATATATATATATACTATTATCTGCAATTCAGTCACATGTACCTAAAAATCGAGGTTTTTTGTCATTTAATAGGACAAAAGACAATATAAGTCACGATAAACATGAACATACAGACTAACCTGTCATACATATGTATATATTCCTATGGATAAACTGGGATATTGAAATTGAAGAGAAACTATTATTTCCTTTTAGCAACAAAAATATTTTTCTTTATAAAAATCAAGTGGATAACTATTCTAATATAAAAGTGATAAAACTGTCCTATTGAAGAGTAATCATGCACATATGAACAGCATGCTTGAAAACTTATATTTCTTCAGAAAATATATACAGGACAGATTATAGGAGACAGAAGACTGAGTCATTTTACGCTGAATCCTATCAATGGTGTCCCAATAGCTTCTATTAGAATATATGCAGTAATACGGTATTTATAAATTGACATTGATTGAATGAACTTATTACAAAAAGTAAGCTATACAGTTAACATACATAAAATAGAAAAATATAGCCAGGTATTAAGTACACATATAATCAGTCAGTCAACTAAAAAGTAGGACGAGACACATATATGCATTCGTCCAAGCTGCCACACATCATTAGCACAACAAGATCAACATCAAATTCATAGAAGTAGTCACTTCAATCGTAGTAATATGTAAAAGAAAGATTGTGTATAATGATATAATACAAGAAATAATTAGTTCGTAGAAAGGAAGATATAAAGCAATTTTAATCTCACGCTTTTAGGGAAGACAAACAGTGTATACACCTACGCCACTATGATAGATTCTGAGCCATGTTACCCAGAGTCTCCAACCATTGGTTACGATGGTCACGCGGACCCCAACCAAGTAGTCTGCATTTAACATGGCTAAGACTAAAGGTCAGTAGCTTCAAGCACTGATGCCACGTTTTGGTTTGGTCGCCCCTAACTTTCTTCCAACCATCCCTAACAGTAGTCAGCATTGCGCGTCGTGGTAATCGGTGTTCAGACATATGTAACACGTGGCCCAACCATCTCAGTCAACGAAGATTCACAACCTCATCAACTGATTTGCCATCATTACCTAATACCCTGTGTGTCTAGCCTCACTATTACCTACCTGGTGATTTCAGCAGATGCGTGCAATATTTCTAAGACGTTTGTGATGAAGTACTAGTAAATACGAGTATCCTTTACTCTTAACGCCACCTTTAGCAATCGTACAGTAGAACAGAACAAACTGCCGCACAGTATACTCGTCCCTTAATTGATAGACAGATATCTCGCCTTCCCCATAGGTGACGTAAATTGACAAAAGCCAAACGAGCTTTTCGAATCTGAGCTGAAATTTCGTCAGATGTCAACCCACTAGGGTTGATCAGACTTCCAAGATAAGTGAAATTGTTAACGCGTTTGACTACTTCACTCCCTATGTTTAGTTCAGGTGTTGATGCAGGTTAGACCTGAAGCAACAACTTGCATTTAGAGGGGCAGAAATACATCCCAAACACCTGGCATATAAATTTCCTACACATCATTTGTTGACTACACAAAGTAAATTATCTGCTGTAAAGTACTTTTTGTGAGATGATCGTGATTAGTGACAAAGGGAAACAGAATGATTTGTGTTTGTTAATTCTAATCGGGAATCAAAAGTAGGAGAAATTAAGAGGAATCTATTTCTTTTTACACTGTTTGATCTATTACCTAAACAAAAGGTTATTTGCTTGAAATGTTCACAAGATAAGTCTTCTGAATACTAGTGGCAGAGCAGTAAGTAATTTCAAGTATTTTTCTTTTCTTGGTCAGCTTTAAAGTGTCTAGACCAGTTTTGTATTTACCAAGCACGTATACAACATGAAGCTACTGAAGAGTTTTAGCTGACGGATGAACGACACCAAACCTTTCAAAGAAACTGATGGTTCTGAAAACCGATTAAAGAGTCTGAAAAGTGTGTTACGCATGAAAACCCACTGTTTACTGATACAAATGAAGCTATTATGTACTGGTCTGAGTTATCCAGACTTTAAAACTGATGGGTACATTTACTTCTTTCCATCGTTCTTTATGCCATAAACATTTCGTTATCCCACATCTATCTATCACTTGTATACTTATCAATTTTATTATCTTTCTCCTAGCACAGGAATACATCGTTTCGCACATATGTAATTTTAAGTGATGTACTTATCGTGTGATACCCTACGCTGGTATGTTTACTTATCACATTTACACATACAAACTGATGACACTTCATCGCTGTACCTCGAAAAAAACGTTTACTTTCTTTGAGAAGGACAAGAACAAAGTATCAGAACTCGATAACTGTTACGATGAATGGATGTACATTACAGATAAAACTTCAGCGAAGTATTTCCAAAGTGTCAGTAGTTAATCGAATAATAAAGTAATAGTTGTTGTTTCTTTCACAAAAAAGATTTAAAAATTAAGAATGAAATAATTCTCAATCATTGTATCCGTTACAATAGTAAATTGGTTATTCTACTTGTTTAAGCCATTAGGCTGAAATATAAACTAGGAGATTACATTGCTCTCTTTTTTAAAAGATTTGATATGGATTAAATCACTGTAATAGTAGTATTCCCGCCCAGAAAAGTAGAAGCTCGTAGGCCTTTCAGAAAAAAAGAAGAGACATTTCAAAAAAAAGTGTGCGAGATCGAACCACTGGAGAAAGGAAAGCAAACAGATGCATTAACAGTTCACTCTGCTGCGTTTTATATGCCAGTAGAGGAAATCGATATCTGTAGTGAAGACGGTTGTTACAGTCCGCACTTTCCTATTACTTTGAGAAACTTGCTAACACCTAAAATGCGTTTAGAGATACAATTAATACATCAGTATGGGACGTGGAACTGTCGCAAGTATGCCTTTTATATTTACATAGAATGTGCGCACTAAAAATATATGCATCCTTCAGTACGCACATGAGCATTGATGCGCGCGGTCACAAGTATAAGTTAAATGTATATGTAGAACACATGGTCCGAGATCTACACATTCCATGACACACACATAGGTAGAGAGGTTATCGCTCACAAGTATACCTTACATGCACATATAGAGTGCATAGATCAAGGTCTATACACTCCAAAGTATACTCACCAAGCCATAGTCCAGCGGTTACCTAAAGTTTAATGAATAACAAACAACCAAATCAATTCGGATGCAAGTCATCACTGACGACGTGCTTTCATCACGCTCATGTCACAAGCAAGTTTGGTGTCGACCCCCACGCGCTGATTACAGCACAGTCTATAGTCTTCGCTCTGTCCCACTCCTGACAGACCTAATGAGCCTTTCCAAAACGAATCCAATCAGGCACCGAAAGGAATTTTTTCTCTAGCACTACACCTCACACACATCAATACAAAGTTAACTGCCCCTTCCTACTAATCAGATTTTAAAGCAGAGTGGATGATTAACTTGATCTCCATCTGTGATAGAGTGGGTGGTAAACCTAATCTCTACTTAACCGCCCGCGTGAGCTCATGGACAGAGTTCACTAACTCCGGGGTACTAAAAAGACTACACGAACCAGTTTGTATTAGTAGCCAAAATATGCGAGAACAAGTAGATAGACAATTATTGAATATTGCCTACCGTAGACATTTAGCTGCAGCTGCTTGTTGAACGAACACCGATAATGGTTCATTACCATCGAATTCTGAATCTGGCCCTTGATTTTGATGTCTATGATTCTTTTTCATCGTTTTTTCTGTTTTACCGCTGTTACCGTTAGCACTAGTGCTAGGGTATTTGACATTTAATTTAGTTGACTTTGTATTGCTCATAGATAAAGGTTTCATTTCTGGTATGCCACTAATATTACGACTATCTAACGGGATAGGATGAGAAGCTGGAAAAAAGATATGATGGCAAAGTGATATTAAACAAATAGTATACAGTGTTTAGTAATTATAAGTCTAAGTATTGCATAGATGTTTCTAATATATGACAAACTAAGAGTCAGGGATAAACCGAGACAGATTTTTCAGACAATTAAGAGTACTTATTCCTGATATACACATTATTTGATATGGTCATTAATACAAATTTCAAGTAATTTATATGCTTACAAAAACCCTGAATTTACTACAATTAACATATACTTGCTTCTTGGTCACTCTTTTTTTCCGTACCAACTAAATATTCCCTGATTATCGATTTTCTTATTTTATTGTATTATGTTAGAAGTGTGGTAATTTGATGGAATATACACCCAAGACTATAATGTTTCCTCTTATGATCGAATATGAAGTTAGATAACAGTTCATGATATGGGGATATGAATAATAAGGCTGGAGAAGATAGATATTATCAATATAAAATGATTATTTTTACAGCTGACTCATATTAATTGTCATTATATTGGAATTAGTTTCAACTTGACATTGTAAAATGTCATCAGAGTATTTTACACCATTTTTAATATAAAAAATTATGTAGACAATTTAATAGAGCCTACCGAACTTCTGTAGACAATCATTTGGAAACATAACAATAAGATAAACCAAAAGTTATCTTTCAACCACATTCATCTTTGTCCTAACTACTACTAACATACTTAAATTACTGCTTTAGTGTATGTATAGGACATAAATCAACTTTATTATTATGTACAATCAAAAATAGAATATGAAAGAAATGTTATTTTTACGATCAAATTATTTGATTACACTTACGATAACTTTCCTCATTACCGTCCATATGAGATGAACTTATTTCATCATCGTTATCATCTGATGTTGCTTCAGTGAATAATTTGCCGAGCTGTATTTCATGCTGAGGTTTTAACAAGGTAATTAAAGCCATTAATATATCATCAGCAATATCGAATCCCATCAGAACACGAAGTAATTCAATAACTAATACATATAGACGAAAATGGAAAGAAGGTAAAAAAACAGATTTGGTACAACTTTTTAGTCAGAGTATAGTATTTGAAAAATTCCCATATTTTGATTTAGAAGAACATATATCAGCGAACAATATTGTTTTCGATTAAATTCTCATCAGGCTTTACTCTAATATACAGTAACATTTATATGCATACATGAAATTATTAAACCAATCAAGGTAGTTTATGAGTCAATGATAACAGTGGAGAAGACTACATAAATAAACATAATAAGTGAAAAGTACAAATTGGTAGTGTGACGACAGGTGTGTTAGTTGTGATAAGGATAATAAAGGCTTGAATCAATGTCTCATGATGGGAAATAGGTCAATCATTAGAAAATTATAGGCAGTGAAATAATGATTATAGAAACTATAAGATTACTTAATAAGAAGTGTTCAGATAATCGGACCGTGAAGCGTATATTTGAGAAAAGAAAAGGGTGGGAGGGGGTGAAGTGAAATAAACGAAAAAAGCGTACGGAAAATAATAATAATAATAATAATAATAATAATAATAAATACAACCATAAACTGCGTTGATTGGCTTAATAATTTCGCGTATGCACGTAAATATTACTGTATATTAGAGTAAAGCCTGATGAGGACTTAATCGAAAACAATATTGTTCGCTGATATATGTTGTTCTAGAGCACAATATATTTAAAAGCATCCAATGTCTTTCTAACCAATATTCAAGTACTATAGTTTCCCAAACGTTTTGAAAAATATTGAAGTTCACCAACAGAGGTTAGTAGTAACAGTAAACGTAGAAGACTCTAGGATGAATTTGCTTATGCTTCGTTTCTAGTTTACCTAGTATATCGTTGAGAGTTAGATCAATACGGGATTTTTAGTTATATAATTTAGACGAAAACATTGTTCAACATTGGCACAACTGTATTTTTTTAGTTTTACATAACCTTTGCTCATCAATGCGTATTTGTCCCAGACTGTATGACTCAATGAAAATAAAAAAACTGAATCTGTAGCAATTTATTTTGATGAGAATGCATGGGGCAAAGTAGGGGGTTGTTTTCCTCTCAGAAATAACTATTTTAAAATGTTATGGGAGTCGGTTTAATATCCAGTATTCCCCGAAACTTCTTACTTACTTACTTACGCCTGTTACTCCTAATGCAGCATAGGTCGCCGACCAGCATTCTATAGTTCGATCCAATTGTTGTTCATTCTTCGCATGTCTGTCTCCATTTCTCGACGTAATGTGTTCTTTGGTCTTCCTCTTCTCCCCCTTTGGCATTCAGGAATCCATGTGAGGGCTTGCCTTGTGACGCAGTTGGATGCTTTCCTCAATGTGTGTCCTATCCACTTCCAGCGCTTTATCCTGATTTCTTTCTCCGCTGGGATCTGGTTTGGTCTCTCCCACAGTTGGTTGTTGCTAATAGTGTCCGGCCAACGGATCCGACGTATTTTGCGTAGACAACTGTTAATAAACACCTGTATCTTCTGGATGATGGCTTTCGTAGTTCTCCAGGTTTCCGCCTCATACAGCAGGACTGATTTGACATTTGTATTGAAAATTCTGACCTTGGTGTTGGCTGACAGATGTTTTGAGTTCCAGATGTTCTTCAGTAGTAGATATGCTGCTCTTGCTTTGCCAATCCGCGCCTTCATATCTGCATCAGATCCACCGTGCTCATCAATGATTATGCCCAGATATGTAAAGGTTTTTACATCTTCCAAATCTTCTCCGTCAATTGTGATTGGATTGGTGCATCCTGTGTTGTATCGAAGGATCTTGCTTTTCCCTTTGTGTATATTAAGACCTATTGCTGCTGCTACACTAATCGTCTTCTCCTGCATTTGTTGTTGCGTGTGCGATAGAAGAGCCAGATCATTTGCGAAGTCCAGACCATCCAACTGCATCCTAGATGTCCACTGTATCCCGTGCTTCCCTTCAGATGTTGACGTCTTCATGGTCCAGTCGATCACCAGGAGAAAGAGAAAGGGTGAGAGTAAGCAACCTTGCCTAACACCGGTCTTTACCTCGAACGAGTTTGTCAATTGTCTTCCATGCACGATTTTGCAGTTTAATCCATCATAGGAATTCTGTATTATATTAACTATCTTCTGATACACATCGTAGTGTCGAAGAAGCTTCCATAGTGTTGTTCTGTCCACGCTGTCAAATGCTTTTTCGTAGTCAATGAAGTTGATGTAGAGTGATGAATTCCATTCAATTGATTGTTCCACAATGATACTCAGAGTTAAGATTTGGTCTGTACACGATCTATCCTTACGGAATCCTGCCTGTTGGTCACGAAGTTGGGCGTCTACGGAGTCCTTCATTCTGTTTAACAATACCCTGTTGAAGACTTTTCCTGGTATTGAGAGAACAGTGATGCCCATGTGGTTGTCACAGCTGCTGAGATCGCCTTTTTTTGGTATTTTGATCAGAAGTCCTTCTTTCCAGTCTGTTGGTACTTGTTCTTCATCCCAAATCTTATTGAAGAGAAAACTAATAGAAAACTAACTCGTTAAAGAACGCTAACCAATATTTCTATTCATCTGTATAAGATATCAGCATTCGAGAACAGGGAGACGATATAGTAAATTCTATGCATATTACATATACATTATGGAGAAAATATACCGAAACAAAAATGGATGTATTAATGCATCTTAAAGCAGATCTTAAAAAGAATAATGTTAGGATAGACATTCAGTGATATTTCTATTTACGTCATACAGTCTAGAAAATACACTTTAATTAATTAATTAATTTACGCAGATACTTGAAAAACCTCTAAGATAAATAAACATTTTCGTAAGGAACGAAGTTAATGACAGAAATCAAGACATCAGATACCATGAAACTGAACAGAATTTTACTGAGAACAACTTTATTTAAAAAAATACTTTAAAAACTAAAACATGCGCTACATACTTGACAGAAAAATAAAGTTACATATGAACTATAAAAGGAAAAAAATGGATTTATGACAAACTAGATGTATTATGGCATTTGAAATAGCAAATAAATCCTATACTTAGCTCTAACATACATGCTAGACAAAGCTATATATAACCTGAACTGTTATACATTGTAGACAGTTTTAGTCAGTTCATTTGATTGAATTTGAAATCCCGGTGCTAAGAAAAAATTGAGGGATATTTCAGAGATATTTACAACACAAGGACAGGCTCGAGAAATATATCAACTTAAACTGACACAATCCAATGACAGAGACAATAATAATAATAATAATTTAGTGCTCCAGTGGAATCGAATTTTCACCAATGAAGTATATGGTTTGAAACATCGTTCATCCACTGAAATTTGGAAAACTCATAAACAAAACAACAATGATAACAATAAGAATAGTACATAACCCAATATGAAAATGTGTATCAAGTTGTTGAGTTATATTAAATTACGATTTTACAGTTAGTCGGATCAATTTGTTTAAGTCACTTGTTAATGCAAGGTTTCAAAACCATTTCACATAATCTATGATATAAAAAGTAGAAACTAAACTCATTTATTCGTTGTATATATATAATCTAAACTGTATGTAATGGTTCTTATATAAAATCCCTTGAATCAATTAGAATATACATGAAAGCCACAACAGATAACGTACCTGCTGATTGGACTTCCAAATGCAATGACTCCAGTAAGTAGATTATTCTGTCGATTAAGGCCCTATTGGCAGTATTACGCTTTGCCTAAAATAATATTAAGATTATTAATAATAATGAATTTATTGTTTAATATCAAAGCTAATTTACAAAATACAATGATTGTTAATGGTGAATGAATCACATAATTTTCTTGTGTTTAGAAAAAAGCCCTTCCGGACCAATTTTTAGAATATATATCGATAATACTGTTAGTGAAGTAAACATTAAAATCATGAATACATTGTCAGAAAAAAATGAGCTGATAACTGATAAATAATAATGCAAAGTTTAGTTTATTCACATCAAGATTCTTCGGTTAAGATAAATTATTTAAACAAGCATCACTGATATTCGGAAATCAAAGCTTTAGTTTATGCGAAGTTATTAGTGGATGGGATAACATTAGTATAATGAACGAATTCTGTTATGAAGCAGCTTACAAAGTCAAAGAGGAAAATGTTACACAACATTGCTACCATATGTATAAGTTTCAACTAATCAAAAAATAACTACATACCACCCAGATCGATAAGCATGCATGTTTTCTTGAATAAGGTCCCTGAGATTGTAGAGTAAATTGGTTAAAAATAATACAGTTTATCACAACGATGGATATGCATTTATTCTCTATCCTTCACTAAATAATAGAAATCCCGTGAATCTGGAGACGCAGTACACATCGATGGCGCGAGACTCTAAAGTTCTAGCTAAGGAAGCCTGTTGTCCTATTTGGCACAGTGTTCAGACGTCAAAGGTTCCTACATGTAGTTTAGAGCGTGGTTTCAGGAGACCAGGAATAACGTTCCATGTATTTGAATCGTTCGCACTTGAGGCGCGGGGTGTTAAAGGGACGTGAGAAGGATTAGTCGTGGAGGTAACGGAGCTATTAAGAGGTGTAGGAAGGATTTGAATGTGACCAACTTGGTCTCGTGTGCTGTTACGGGTATTAGGGCTGCTATCACTTCCCGGCTGTCCACACCGTGGAAGGGTATTTCTTAAGGAACCTGAAAAGGAATTCGGATTAGTATTAGTCTTAACGACCTGAGAGCGTGACCGCAAAGCCCAAGGGACAACTGCTTGAGGCCGGTCGCGCACGGCCTTTTTGTGGGAGGTTTTTAACGTGTTAGCTCCGTTCTTCAAAAGACCTTACCACCGGAGACGGAGATCCGTAAGGTAAGTTGAGGTGTGACATTTTTAGGGTCGATCTTTTCTAAGCCCGACCTTCCTTGTGAGAAGGAAGCATCGCTGCAGATGCTGGTTGTCGGAGGGAAACACCTTACTGCTGTCACACCCCTCTACAGTCAGCAGTACAACTTCGCCCACAGACCTTGAATTGCGGCTTTTAATCTTACCGTTCTCCAATCGACCTGAATGGCATGGTAGAACCAATATAGCCAATATAGCTCGGTTGGGTCATCACGATAGACAAACCCGACCACCACGTAAAACCAGCAGCTACGGTCGGGATATATATATATATATATATCCATGCACTCGATATCATAGAGAATAATGACAAAACTAAATAACAGTATATTGATAGAGCATAAAATCAACTGCATTAGTAAATATGGAAATACATTTCTTTTTGTAAAATGTTTTTGAATAAGTTACGTGAGTGGTTATCGCTATATATGTATCCAATTATGAACAAAATAAAGGCAAAACATTGACCTGAAATAATTAACTGAATAATTATGCAATATTATATTAACAGGTAAAAAACGTTTAGTGCTATCTTTTTGTCCCCAAGCTTTAATATTCTAAAGTATGTTTTATCAGCTGACACAGGGTAATTAACATTTTTTGGCATGTTAACCAAAAAGTCTCATAAATTCGTTGAAAAATGAATATTGTAACAAAGAGAAGGGATATGTGAGCATCTCTATGCGTGTGTTTAAGAGAAATCACAAAGATATTATTTATTCCATTAAATAACACTTTTTGTTTAGCCTATTTCTCCTCCAATTCATACTAATATTCACAATTACATGAACGATTACCTTACTGCTTCGTGTTCACAATTTTAGAATCAGTGTAGTAATGAAATTTATTATTTGTTTATCTGAACACAAATATTGGTACAAAGGGACACTGAATACATATGCGCCACATAAATCATTCGATTTGTGTGAAGGCTGGGGTACTGCCCGCGTGCCCAGACCGAAGCAGACTTTTCCCATCCTCGGCCGTACCGGGGCATTTGGGAGCGTAGTAATGAAAACATATTATCTAACACTGTAGTGATCCAAATTACTTTAAAACGGATGGTGGAACAATAAAGAAATCAATTTAAGACCAGTTAAGTCCGAGTTTATTTATTTTTCACTTGGAATTTCAGACTGTGAGTAGCACTTTTAGTAAGCTATATAAATATGAAAGTTATTCATGAGATTAAAAAAAAATTTCACTTTCAGATAAACTAGTGAATTTTGACCAATTTTGTAGATATTGTATGAATGACTAACAATCGGTTTTCAACTAAGATAAAAACAGAGATCTGTTGATTATTAGCACATCAGAAACGATAACGACTCGTAAGATTTATAATCAAAACTGATTTTATGCAAATAACCGATTGTGTTGACTGAATATTTATCAACTCGTTAATTAAAGGCAAACAAAGCTACAAATACATCTGAAATCAAAAAGTGACTATGTCAATTTAGATACTTTGTGGTAGTAGTATTATTAAATCTCATTTATTCGAATCAAGTTTTCCGAGAAAACAGTAACTGACATCATTTTAACGAATTATGCGGAGAAAATTTACTGATAATTTGCATTTCTACTAAACTTCACAATACATTTTCTTAGGGAGTATTAGTATTTCGAGTGGTTTAGGTGATGAACAATAACTGGAGATAACCCAAGAAAACGTTATTCAGTATGTCAGAGGACTTTAGTGAAAAATTTGAGTTTTATGTTTTCAACTAATGTATTTATGAACAGACAGTTATTAGTCTTTTTATGTAGATGTGATAAATTAGTAGATAAAGCTATAAATCAACATAGAATGAGATAGTTAAGAACAATATCACAAATGTACAAAAACCAATCTCGATTCGCCATACTGTCTAGTAAGAGAAATGGTTGAAATAAGTCTAAATGGTAGCTAGACAGAGATATGACTTCGATCCGCGAAGTCATCAACTTCTAATTTGGGAAATATAGGTAGATAGATGCAGACTTTACGGCTGTAATCAATAAAAGAGTTATAATGGATGATAACTCATAACTTCAATTAACATGACTGTAAATCGATCGCACTAGTGCCAAAGTATTTAGTTTTTACCCTTATAAACTTGGAGTATGTTATTTCGACTGTTCATTGTTCGATTTAATTTATCCCGTTTTTCTTTTTATATTTGGTTTTTCACTACTAGCGACATTATTTCATCATATGACTTGTTATTGGTTTTTCTTTACTGTGTAGATGTGAAAAAAATGACAACTTAAAACTACAGCGTTAATATACCTTTTTTCTATTTGACATTAAACTCTTAATGAGTATTTTTATCTAGAAAGCAAAAACTGGTTCCATGATAGCATATCATTTTATAAATGAAACTGACTTTAAGCTATAAGCTAGAATTCAAAAACCGATAAGATGGATTGTGTAATAATTACAGAACATTTGAACAGTCTGCATGAGTTTTATCATTTTACATAAAAGTACTAAAGTATATACATCGAATGAACAAGGAGTAAAGTACATGTACGCTTCAAAGAACTCCATTACGCTTTGTTGAACTATTAATTATCAACAAAATATCAACTAAACATATGCGTTTAGAAAGGGATAGTTTTTAATTTATCACTAGCATGAAAAAAATGATACATCTTGTTGAGGTTGGAAACCAATCTAAACTAGAGCTAACTTTTATTGGTTTCTTATCATAACAAAACTCAACAATATCCACAACACCCATACAGAATATATTTTGTGATTGATCTCTATTTATTACTACTGTGGTGTATGTATGTCAGCAGACATAAGTAGTATGTAACATCAAACGGATGATGAATGCATGAAAGCAGAATGCTGAGAAGACCGAATAGAAAAACAAACGGGAATGTAAACAGAAAGGAATTGTGAATTGGAAGAATCATACAGGATGTGAACGACAATTGGAAGATTTGCAAATGATGCGTTTAATGTATGATTCTTAAATTTTATGAAGAAATTCTGCAATTTTGTATTACATGATAAGTTGTTTTACCCCACTTGAATGTTCGTTTACAACACTACTATTACTATCATGTCGTTTGTAATATGTCATCTAATCTTCACTTAGCCAAATTGCATTTCACTCACCCAGTCGTTGAAACTTATATTCTATAACCATTCTATAACTATAAAACAATCTTATCAATCTTCGAGCTCTAATTAATATCTGACTACTTGATGATTTATTTTCAAATAACCTTACGGACGGAAATGAATATATATATATATATATATATATATATATATATATATATATATATATATATATATATATATATATATATATAGTGCGAATACTTAGTTGTAATTAACTAAACGACCACATTTATCTGAATTCATAATAGCCTAGAATTCACTCAAATCAAAAAGGTGAAAATAATGATGACGCGCATTCACAATACAAGGATTAATGATGCTACTGATTATTTAAGGTCGAAAGATATTGGTTAGTCGATAAAGGTCTGAAATCTCCCCACACTTCTCCGAATGGCCAAAAGCAGAGTGAATTTGCGAAACTTATTTGAAATGTTATACCTGTAAAATTCGTATACTTTGAAGTGCTAATTGTTGAGCTTTTGGTGAATTACATGGTAAAACGCCAATTAATCCTTTGTAAACTTGATCAGAGAAACGAGGATTGCCTTCAGCTAATATTTCTAATAAATCTCTAGCAGACTCTTGTGTTTCCTCTGACTTTGACTTGGCCATACATTCAGCAACAGCACGAATACCTAGAAATTGTTTTAATCGAAATTGCACAGGTGATCTATATTATTTATAATAATCGGTAAACATCACTACAAATTTAAGAAATTATTTATGATATTATAAAATATATCAATGATTAAAAAATTTGAATTATAAAGACATTAATATCAAACAATTATTTTTAACTCAGTAGTTCTTCGGTGGTTATCAGAGTAGCCTAATGTACATCTATGAATAATTTTGACAGGAATATTATTCCACAATGTTATACTACACATATCATTTGATTATGAAAAGATTCTCTTTCACTTGACCAATATACCTTAATAACTAAATTTATTTACCAATGAAGGCACAACAGAATAGTATCACATTATGATTTTTATTATTATTTATTAACTGGAAATGTGAATCGAACAGTCTTAACACAGATTGATTAATCAAACATTATCTATCATAAGTGGTCACATCTTGTGCTTTTTTCTCTCTTTCTCTCTCTGATGTTTCTTTTACTTCATAATGAAAAACTGCTCAAATCCAATTAACATTTATCAATCAATGAAGTAATTGTTTTTTTAAACAGATAATACACATATATTATTATTATTATCATCTTTGTTTTCATTTCAAGTATAGAAAAGAAACTTATTTCCCAATTTTATTATCAGTGATAAATTCAATTAAACACTAAATAAATGAAAAATGGTTAAAGAGATGAGAGAAGAAAAAATATAACTAAATAACACTAGTAGTCGTAGTATTAACAGGAAAAGTAGTAGAGATAAGGGGGAACTATACAAATGATATAAACTTCATGAACCTACTATTTGAAGGATCTAAGACGTGTACAAACGAAAACTACATAGCCAAACAAGGAATATAATGCAAAACAACCAAAAAAAATAGAAACTTAAGGGAGAACGACAAAATGAAACATAAAGTAAAGGAAAATTAAATAAGATAACAAGAGACAAACTAACGTTTATAATGATAAATAGAAAGGGAAAAAAGCAATTATTTACCATAACATTCACAAATTGTCTCCTTATAATGTGTACCACCATTGGCAACGCAAGATAATACTTTAAGCGCCCAACGTTTATCCACTTCTTTTGCACTCGATGAAATCCATACTTCCTGTAAACACAATACACCACCATACTCCAAAAACTCTAGTAAATAATTATAGCTTTTAGCGAAGAAGGTTGATGGGTGGGTAGGTAGATAGGGAAAATATCAAGAACACAAAGGATAAAATGCAAATTGATTGTTTCCTTTGAGTTGAGGGGATTTATATGATTTGTGAATAGATATACATATGAAACGTCATTAATTGGATGAACAAACTGGCTTATAGTAGATTTTTTTACAGGGTATGTAGCCTAAAACTTCTAGATATTGTAAACAAAGTGTAAGCGATGAAGAGCGTAAGAAATATACATTTTTTTCGCCAAACCTAATCCAGAACTGGATATTATCAGGGAAAGTGTGTAGTGTTGCGACATAAATTTTACTTAGATAACGGCAGTCCAAAATTTATTCTAAAAGATGTAGAAATGTAAAGATTATTGATAATCGACATGTTGAGCTAAAAGACTCAGTGAGATATAACACTAACTGTAAACATGGATTACATTCAAATTGCTTACTGCACACTAATAAAGATTATCAAGGGAGGATCGATTCGAAAATTTAGTACTATTACGCATAACTTGCAATATCAGTCCGTAGAAATTAAATAAAACTGTTGCCCTTCTGCATAAACCTCTAAAGCTAAAGCTATCCCAAACTGAACAAATTTTCTGTGATTGTTTAGATTAGCCTGCCTAAAATGTTGAAATATATAACAAGAATTGCAAATTAACTAACCGACTATCTATCCATATAGAACTCTTGGTTGATATTTTAAAGTCGTGTTTTTTGTTAAGTAAGCCTACTGGTCATTGTCAGCCTAGACGTCTTAAAGCTAATACTTGTAACAACTCGTTGTAGCTGACAATATATGAACCATTTCTTTTAACAACAAACGAATACTGTCTAGGTAGTGTGCAGAGTATTAGAAAAAGGAAGGAAAGTCAGTCTGTGAAAATGAGGACTTACATTAACTGAAATGGCTGAAAATGCACTCTAAATTTTAAGTCAATATCTAGTCCTATGATCGACGCTGGTGGGTGAAGAATTGGAGTGAAAGAAATCTAAAGTTAACCAAGTTAAGCCATAGTATTAATTTAAGTAAGCACACTAAAGAAGTGATTCATTAGTTGGAGTCGGATCTTCAGCCTTCAAGTAATGGGTTTGAACCCTATTACACCTATTACAATCTGGACAGTCAGAGAGTACCAGTAACCCTTGGTTCAAAGACAAGTACATGGATTTGTACCTTATAAAGTAGTTATTACGTCAAATATAGGCACTGAATCCTATAGAGCCATTTGGGTCCACAAGCTTATATTAAACCAACAGACTGGATTGCCGTAGAATCAGGAGTTTAAATACGAATAAAATAAGTAAATTACACAAACCGCGTAGATTTACTTCTTTCCCATTTCCATTGATAATTCCTAACAATTTGTACTTTTAGTATATTATAGGCTCAGAATCGATCACAATGGCGTAGGTCTATACAATCTCTGTCTTCCCTTAAACTATGAGACTAAAATCGCTTCATATCTTTCCTTATATGCAGTCTTTCATTCATATATTACCACCGTTGAATTAACTACTATGAATTCGGTGTTCATCTTGCTGTGCTAATGAGGTATGGCAACTTGTACCGATATATATATGTGTCTGGTTCTACATTGTAGCTGACTGACTGATAGTTTAGTTTATTTTCCATGATCACTGAATATTTATACAATTGTTTGTATAAAACATTGTTTTGTTGAGCTGGTACAGGCTTTTTATTTTATCCATCGCTTGATTTGTGCTTATAAACTCATGTTCAGACCACTACTCCTTTCCTTAATCGTGTACTGCTATTCTATAACGCCTCGCACTTTTCCTACGCATCAGACAGTAAATTTAATAAATAAAGGTACCTCTTAAAGAGGGAGTATAAATATCTAATCAGTCAATTTTAAAATTTGCCAGGTTCTAACAAACGACGTATTTAAATGAGAACTTTCGTCTAAATTTGAACGAATAGTTTCACAATATTTGGGCGCCGAGTTAATTTGAGACATTAAAAAGAAGAATATATTTGTAAAATCTCAGCGAATGAATTTTAAGTAAATCCAACGTTTCGCTAATTTTGTTGTTTGATTATATTTTCCTTGAAAAAGCTTGGACCAAATTGCCAGGTGAAACGTTGGATTTACTTAAAATTCATTCGCTGAGATTTTACAAATATATTCTTCTTTTTAAACGACGTATTTATATGCATTTTGTACATATGACGAGCTAGATGTTAACTTTCATATAAACAAGCAATAGTACCTATATCTGCAACTATAGACTTCACTATCTGGGCACATGTTATGAGAAAAACGACATAAAATGCAATCACAAATCCCAATACACTGATATGACTAGAATTACACGCTCAAACTATAAAGAAACGTGGGGAATCTGGTGGTCTGGGATCGAGATACAATAACAAAATTGTCGCATCCGTCTGAAAATAAAATTGGATTATGTTTGTAACAGATCTATTACGAAATGGTAATGAAAGCCAAGTATACCAACTCACTAACTCTACCAACCAATTTACTTTGACAACCGATAATTAGTATCATTAAACACAGGAAAGATAAAATCTGATACACGAAACGCCATTAGGCTGTCGAAATAGTCCCCAACCAATAGAATAAGAAAGACTGACCTTCATTTGTCCGCATCACTACTTAATAAGTCGAAAACTAATAAACTTTTTGGACACAAAACGACACCATTTTTAGATGAAACTAACCAATTAGTCAATAAAGAAATTGTCTAACGTCGTGTGAGCCTAAATTAACCTAAGGATGAACTCATGTGATAGCCAGTTGTAGAATTACTGGCTTAAGATTGAAATACCATTGGAATAATTGAGGAAACTAAGTAATCTAACCATACAATAACACCCATAATACCGATACATTCGATCTTAGTTGTGCTCTAAATGTTAGAACGTGAACTGATAAGTTACTATAACTAGTTGTACAGTATTCCAAAAAACCTTATAACAAAAGTCTTACATAGACTATTAGAAATAAAGTTTCTATTTACAGGAGCATGACTACCATGAGTACAAAACTACACAAATAAAGTATGTATATAGTGACGGACCGATGATCTGATTGGTTAACAACTTTGAAGAATTTATCAATAATCATAATAGTTACCAGGATACTGGCCAGAGTACGGAAATCCTACTTTGTTCATTCCCCAGTTTCTTAAACTTCCTTTATATCAGCTACAAATTCTTTTAAATTAGATCAGTTTTAAGGATACAAAATCGGAACTAAGATAGAACAAATTATGATAAACTTGTAAATCCAAATCTTTCTATTGATAGAAAGGCAGTTTTACATTAGTTTACCTGTTTGAAGCTGATAAAAATATATGAAGAGCTTGAAGCTGTTCTGTTAGACAAGTTCCTGACATGTAACTAAAAGACACGAAAAAATTTAAAAACATTACACAGATTTGATTTTAAGTCTACATTAGTGTGTAGTACATCGGGCCACAAACTGATCTATGTGCATGGGGTAAAAACGCTACTCAGATGTTCAAACTGAAATAAGAGAAACACGATAAGGACCTGGGACCGGACGATTAAATACTTTAATTACTAGGTCAATGCTCATCAAAACATTATTCAAAGGTATGATTTAAAGAAAATCGTGGAATATATTCTTAAACGACCATAAACCAAGTATTAATTTGATGAACAATGATTCCTAATTACGAATACCATGACAGATATGACACAAACTAATCAAGATACTTTTTAGTACTGAAAGTTGTTTATTTTCACAGATAATTACTTGAAGTAGTGACTTAAACCTGGAAAAACACTGGAAATTTAAGATTTTAGTCTACAGAACTTTACATACGTCCTATTTAACTTAGCTGATAATTAAAAATTTTCTTCGAGTACAAAAATGGACAAAGAAATGAAGGCTACTTCTTGACATCTTCTGGCGGTTTAATATGATTCTGGCACATTCGAATCGAAAAAACCTATAAACTAGCTAATCTGACAGTTTTGAATAAAGTAGTGAAATATATATATGTAGGAAAAACATGTCCATATTTACATTACTGTCTGTGACCAAACTAAAATTTTCATGATATTTACGACTTACAATACTCCGGAAAATAATTGAACAGGCGGTGGCTTATTGGTTATGGTGTATTTAACTTCAAGTTACTAGATCACAAGTTCGAATTCCACCCCCACCGCTTACTTTAGCTTAGGTCATCGGGTAGAGTATTAGTAGTTCATCTGCTTAAAGTATGACTTAAAGCTGGGTACAAGAATTTATGCTTGGTAAGTTACTCATGAAACTTAAACTGCTTAAACTCAAGCAGTTGTAAATCATATTCTTTTACAAAAGTCCTGCAAGATGACAGATAAAGCAACAAAAATAAAACGAACCACATATCATATTATATGGAACGAAATCGTTAATAACTGTACATATACGTACGAAATAAATAATAATTAAACACACAAATCATCCAATGAACACAATCAAACGCCTGGACGATATCGCAAGCACAAACAAGTCAATACCATGAACATGACTTACGTTAATTTTATCCATACGCATATTCTAGCCAAAAATAAACTAGCCATTTGGGCGAATTCTGATTCTAAATCGGGTCCAGTACAATTATAGTATTGTTTAATGAAATCGTCAAGAAGCTGACGACGTTTTTCTTCAGATGAACAATCCCACTGACGTAATAAATGAGTTACATTATACGTAGCAAGATCCTGTTTCGCAGATGCCATGATCTAGAGTAAGAAAAAAGTGGGGAGAAAAGTTATATACATCGAGTGTGTAAAACATTACTACTTACTACCCGCCCGAAAAAAACTCTTTTCTGATATTTCTATAGTTGATTAACTGTCGCAACGAATTTTCGTTTATGGGTAGTAAAAGTATTGGGCTACTTATACTATACATAACCGTAGCAGTTAGCATTCCATGATATAAATATCAGCATACAACGCAGTAGAATAAACATTTCGTATTAACAACAGAATGAATAAATTACCCACCAAATCTATAAGTACTTCTTACTTTAATTGTTGTCATCAAATATTCAAAACTTTGACACAGAGACTGTACAATAATTCACTCGACGACAATCACAAATAGTTTAACAAAGTGCACTTTAAGTATTTATGAAGTTGGTTTAACGTTAGCTTTATGACTTTGATAAGTAAATGAATTACATTTTTCTGATACTATCTATCTGAAACTATCTATACGCTTTTTATTTTCTCTTACCATTCATTTTCCACCTATCCACAATTTGTTTACCCTAGACCAACGTGAATATTCCAACGGTCTGATCATTGAATAAAACGAAACCACATCGGGACGGTAGTGAGCGCTGACTGTACTTTTCTTCTAAATTTGATTTCAACTGCAGCTCAACACAATTTGATTCACCACTAAATACATGAACCAATATTAGACAGCGTTATCGTATATCTAAACAATTAGAAGTATATAGTTGTTTTGCATCACAACGTTAACTGCTGTTTGTTCATATGGTTGAAAGATGATGGACGAAATCTCTCGAAATGAAATTAAGAGTCACATATATACTTTTGGATGCTATTAGAGAATTTCATGTATGACCCATATCAATCAAGACTAATAGGAAACATAAATATCAGTTTGATAAGGAAAACGATGACATTTTCGTAAATATACTGACCAAAATCCTAGAACACTGCTGTATTTATTTCGGGCCAACAATTAAATCGTGATATGAGGACCGCTATTGATTTCCCAGATAAGACTGGTTAGAAAACAATTTTTAAAGCATAGGTTCAGAAGCATCTATGCTAAAACAACCCAGCCAGTTAGAACATACAATTGCCTCCCCATCCTATCTTAAATTTATCTATGATGTTCTGCAAACAGTTCCACAGACAGTACATGGTGGTAATCGACAGTTGCTGAATGTATTTAGCCCAAAATACTATTTACACATTTCTATGAAAACTATACAACCTAGTTTTCGGTCTGTTACTTCAAATTTGTTACAGACTGTTTGCAACTGACCTTAGTGTTTTGCAGCAATCTATTTCCATCTAGTCCATCAGCAAAGGCGAATCCAACTATTATTTCGAGAGGGTAATGACCACTAACATCCAAAATGATTTTATCACAATATCAGTATTAGGACTATACATACAATAAGGAATGAAATAGGCTTATAACTTGAAGCTATAATAAATGTTCGCCAAAAGTAAGCTATTAGGATGGATTTGCTTTTTTAGTTCTAACTGATAAAAAAATATAGATATATACATATTCCCAAATTTGCACGATCGGAACATCAGTCAAGCAAAATGAATGTACTAAGCTTCAGCAAGATGATTAAATTGCCCCCAAATGCCCTGATACGGCCGAGAGTGGGGAGAGTCCGCTCACCTTCTCCAAATGCTCTCACATGGCCACGTGTATATAGCCTCTGCCAGGGAAGTCCTACTAACTGCCTTCTCGTGGCGGGTGTTGTTTACGAAATTGAGAGGACGAAAAGCGAATTTCACTTACTCGTGAAGCAGAAGCTTAGGTACTTAACTCTGGACCACTCATCAAGGGTTAAAACTGATTTACACAAACACAAGTGATGTTGTTTGTTCTCATAATGGATGATTTTGTGATATCGAATGAACTTGCAAATGGTTGGTCAATGATAAAAAAACAGAGTAGGACCTAGGACATGTGTATGACAGTATGATTATCAGTTTATTACAGAAAACAGCCACTGAGTGAATTAATACACCACGGCAAATAAGGCTAAGAAGTTGGTTGCAACAAAGCTGGCAACTGCCTACCTACAAACATGGATGCATTTAGGTGTAAATGTGATTAGTCCTAGCAGCGACTATAGCGAGCAAGAATTCTATTGACTTAAATCCAACCCCAGTTGATCCATACGAAGTGATTTGCCATCAAAGGGAAGATGCACCACGTTCACCAATGATCGAGTAAGTTTAGTTATTGAAAAAAGCATTTACAATGTACTCGGAAAGAAAGAAATAAAACTGAATACCATAATACCCACGTAAAACTAAAGCTTCAAGATTCAAACGTATATTGTTTACGCGTTAGTTGTGTTCTCTGTCAAAATAAAAGCGCTTGTGGCAGTTTTCTATCACCACAAAAATTAATCCATGTCTACAACTGGCAGATAATGAGCATTATAAAACTTCCAGTAAACGCAGAATAATCTGTCGCAACAATCCACACTTCAGTTTTATTGTGGTGTTTGTATGACCTAACGACTCCTTTGTACTTGCTAAATGCTTGATTTCGAATTCCAAATACAGTACATTCGTTCGGGCTTATCTAGTACTTCTTGATCCACTTGCTTTATTTCTGGGATTCCTAGTTTTTACTATAATTCAAATACTCCTAATTATCACAGTTATATGTATCATATTTAGCATTGCTAATTGGTATTTAAATGCCATGTTAATTGGAAAAAAGTTCATCAGGAGAGTGCTACTAAATTTCAAGTATGATAGTACGTTACATGAAAATTAAGGCCTATAAAATAAGATGAGAATGAACGATACCGTACAGACACAGAAATGCTGTGGACAGAACGACGAGTAAACTTAGTACTCCTTTTTAATGTTTGATTAGCACTGCAGACACTCAAAGTATACACGGTGTAAGACTTGATGACATGCACTAAGCGGATTCAAGTCACCTGCTAGTAACGTCAATTTGTAACTTAATGCATGCCTCAGAGGTATGAAACAGAACTGGTAGGTTGAACAAGGATCTAAAATTTAGAAGATATTTACGCTTTACACGATCAATGAAGAACACATTTATGTTCCAGTATGCTGAAGGGAAAGTCATAAATATATAAGACTGAGAGGATTGTCTTACCATGAACGTAACTAAAAATTCAATAAAACGACATGAAACACACATAATAAAAAATGGACTGTCCTTAACAAGAATTTTTTGTAAATAAACGGTTCAACCATAGACAGAAAAAACAAACCTCCAGTAGTAATTAGAAACGACTACCACAGTCGAAAAACGAAAGCCCGCAATAGCTCACATGGCAACCCTCAAAGATACTAGAATGGATTTAAACACACTTCATTCAAACTAATTCAGTCATATTTATAAATTCGTCGTTTTTTACGTACAGTTTACTTGTGCAGAAAGAAACAGCAACTCTGTTGCACTTTCTTGGATGTACTTACGATCTTTCAGCTGTTCTCGAATTACATATATTTAGTGCAAGCTGAAGCGTTGGCTATTCGCTGCCTCTTCCGATAAATCCGATTTCGATGGGAAATTTGTTTTTTACATCTTCAGGTAGGATTTTACTTTCCATGTATACGTTTACATGTGTAGCAGGAACATTAAGGTAATGTTAGTGGAACAACCTGAAGCGAATTCAGTTACAGAACAAAGTTTAGCTGGGTTCTTCAATGACAGAAAACATTTAAGGGTAGTTATTTTCTCCTGACTGTGGACCGTATGTATAATAGTTAATAGGTCCTTACACTGATAGCCTGATGAACAGTAAATTAATGTGATGAGAGTCACTGAGCAGAGAATTCTGAAATATTATTCCTCGACATCATCTGTTCATATTTGGATGTCAAGCTTGATTTATAGTAGCCAGACGTTTCTTGTTATTTTCTAACTAACATTATAGTAAAATCCAGTCTTCTGTCTTCAGCTATAAGGATAGGTCTATGGACTTACATTGATCCTTGCAGTTTGTAGCACTCTGAAGGTCTAATCTCATTTTGAATAGATCAACAGAAGGCGTTGATATTACGTGTTATGGAGAGAATTTGATGAGACTATGATTTATCATGACTTTTCAGCGATGCTAAAGTGATCTTGAGAGAGTCCACCTAATAACTAGGACCAAATGAGCGTTATAAACCAGCGTGAGAAATTAGAATCATGATTTACTGCTGATGGCTGGGATTAGGAATTACATTTAGGGTTTTCATCACGAACTGACATCAGCTATAATGCCAAAACTCTATTTAGCCAAATCGATGGGTGAATTCCGCGCCGAAATCCGAGATCTGTAACCTCATATCTGATTGACTCGTCCATAACTTATAGTCTCAACGAGGATTCCAGTAATTCACTACTCGGTGCAAGAAAGAAAACTCCTGACATAGAAGATTTGACCTCGATTTTTGGACTTTCTTAGAATACCATATCAGTCCTAGACGAAAGGGAATTTAATTCATATTAATACCAAGGTCATCGTTCAGTATATGATAAGCCAATATTATTTCACCCCGGATTCTCGGTAAGATAAAGGAAATAAGTTTAGGTGTCTCAGTCTGTCTTCATAAATAAGGCCAGAAAAGCCTTTTGCCATTTTAGTCTCTCGTCGTTAGATTTGATCCAGCATGTCCTCATCATACTTGAAATAAGGACTCGCTGCTTGAGTCCTATTTTCCAAATGTGGTTGCACGAAACTCGGGTATAATAAAGCAAAAATTTCTTCATGCGTATACTGAAAAGACATACGAATAGCCTATAATACCCTACAGTCTTGTGCAGCAACAACCTTATATTTACTAGTAGTTTTGAGGTCGCTGCTTAGTATGGCTCCCGAATCATTGTAGTTTCTTACTTTGGGCAATACAAATCCCCATATTGTATAGTGATACAAATCACCATAGCTATTTGATGGCGTCACCACACACGTTTTGTGATTCCCTTCTAGTGACCTTCCGTCCATCCATGCCACAAATCATTTGAGACCATGCTGTGATACTATTCTATCTGACATACTGTGTATAGGTCTGTAAATATTTATGTCATCGGTAGAGACTAGAACGGACGACTTTGCTATAGTCGGTAATTCATTCACATAAAGCGAAAAGAGAAGAAGACTGAGGGTTGTACCTTGGGGAACTCCACTTTTTACAGGTTCCCACTTTGAGGAAGCTCCATTTACCCTTACCCTCTGTCTCCTGTCATGGGGAAAGTCACTTATCCAGCCTGTGACCTTATAATGGACTCCAAAACCTTCCAGTATCAATTTACGATCAGAATGGGAGATCCTATGAAAGGTTTTACTTAGATACACAAAAATCACATCTACAGGAATATTTCGATCTTTTGTATCAGCCCAATCTTCTCTTGCAATCAGCAGATTTGTAAAACATGTTAGGCCTTTCCGAAAACCATGTTGTTCTCTCGATCAAAGATTGTGCACTTCCACATAACTTAAGACGGCCATCGGAATAATCTTTTCCATTAGTTTGACAACTGCACTGGTCAGACTAACAGGTCGAGAGTTACTAACTGAATCTCTACTCCCAGCCTCATACAACGGACTAATTATCGCGTCTTCCCAGTCTCTGGACAGTCTGGACTGCCGCACTGACATATCAAACAGCATCGCTAAAGGTTCAGCAATTATATCTGATAGGGCTTTCATAATCCTATGATGAATATCATCAGGACCACCGGAGTTATCAGGTTTAAGATGCTCCAGTTGTCTTAAGACAGCACCTTTCTCAATGACTACATGGTCCATCAGCAAGCCGACACAATCACAACGAATCTTTGGTCGTTCTTTATTACTGACAGAATACACTTCATTGAAATTTTCCGATAAAACTTCAGCTTTTTTATA